TTGTCTTAGGTGCACCAGCTTCAGAGTGACTAGGTTCAGCACTCAGATCTCCCACTTCTTAGTGTGACTTTGGGAAATGTATTTAGCCTCTCAGACAAAATTTCCTTACCATAAAAAAGGGATGTTAACAGTCGCATTTCATGGACATAAGGACTAACTGAGATAATACAAGCACACATCCTAGTACAGGGTAAAACTCAGTAACTCCTAGCTATTATTCGTACTATTTTAAAGTGTAAATAAAAGCTACTTTCTTCCTCAAAATCTGTGGCTTTGCCCTATTCTTGGTACAAAACCCACAGCTCTCCTTAGCCAACCTGGTCCAAATCTGGCCCTCCCTGACCTCCTCTCTCCACCACCCTCCTACTCACTCGCTCGCTCAGCCTCACAGACCCTCTGTCACTTCTGCCGACACGAGCTCCTTCCCTCCTCTGAGCACTGTTCCTGAAGACACAGTGTCAGACGCATCCTTGCTTTGCCATGTTGTTGCTTTTGCGGCTGCTACTGCTGTGTGTGCGTGTGTGCATGCGTGCATTTTAAATCACAAAAGTCCCGGCTGAAGAACTCGTAAGGTTCTTCCACAGTTCCTTCGGTTCACTTGGCTAACGTCCAAACAGCCAGTTCATTCAGCAAAATCTGCGCATTGCTGCGCCCAGCGAAGGCTCCTGATTGGTCGGCTAGACAACCAATCAGCTTCCAGGGAGAAGGTTCCCTTTCACACAGCGATTGGCCGAGAGACCTCAGACTCGGCCCACCACTGCGGCCACCGCGCTGCCCCTACCACACCAGGGGGCCTAGAAGGAGAGAAAAGGGGATGCCTGGGGCGCACAGGTGGGCTGCGGAGCCAGCAGAACAAGACACAAAATCAGAGACATAGGGCGGAGGCCCGGTGGAAGAAAAATCAAATGAGGTCAGGAGGCCTGTGTGCCAGGGCCACCAGCGAGCCATGGCACTGAATGGGGTCATGAACTGAATGGGGTCCTCCAAATTCATGTGTCGAAGTCCCAATGCCCCATACCTCAGAATGTGACCCTACTCAGATACAGGGCCTTTAAAAAGATAATTAAGGTTAAATGAGGACCTCAGGGTGGGCCCTTAATCCAGTCACACTGGATTTTATAGGGATTCCCCTTATAAAAAGGGGAAATTTGGACACAGACACAGAGGGGACAGCACACTAAGACGTGGGGAGAGCCATCTATAAGCCAAGGAGAGAGGCTTGGAAGAAAGCTACCCTCTGACACCCGGATCTCGGACTTCTAGTCTCCTCCAGAACTGAGAAACAACACATTTCTGTTGTGCAAGCCACCCAGCCCATGGTATTCTGTTGTGGCAGCCCTGGCGAACTAATACACCCAGTGCATCTTAACGTTTCCAGGGCCTCAGTCTCCACAGCTGCAAAATGGGACACCTGGCCTGCCCCTCCCACAGGTGTGCTGCAGGGATCGACTGAGGCTCGAGGTGGGGGAGCTTTGTCAACCATACAGAATTCCATGGATGACCTCGGGAGGTCTAATTTCACTCTCAGGGCCCTGGTCCTGGCGTCCGGGGCAGTAAAGCAGATAAAGTCAGAAGCCCCTGGGGACTGTGGGGTCGCAGTTAGAGAGGTAGGAGCTGGACCAGTGCCTTGACAATCCCCTGCTCCAAACCTCCAGGGAAGAGACTGGAGCTGCCCTCCTCCACAGTTATTTAGTGGACGTGGGAGAAACAGAACTTGCGTGGGAGAAGGGAAAGAGAACAGAACAGAAACCAGAGATTTCTAAGAAATGAAAAGAAAAAAAAAAGCCATATTTATGTCCCTGAGAATTTTCTGGATAAAAACAATACATTTTATTTGTATGGTATTCTGCAGGTCACAAAATACTTGATAGCAGTAAAGATTTTTCTTTAACCTATCTGAGGTCAAGAATCCCTCTGACAATCTGATGAAAGCTATGCACCCTCTCCTCAGAAAAAAATTAACCCATGCACTCAACATCTAAAACATTATACACCAGCATGGTCCTATCCTGCAATGATGAAAAAGTTCTGTATCTATACTGTCCAATATGGCAGCCACTAGCCACAAGTGGCTATGGAGCCCTTGAAATGTGGCTAGTGGGACTGAAGAACTGAATTTTTAATTATTTTATTTTATTAATTTTAATTTAAATATCCATCTATAGCTAGTGGCTTCTATATTGGACAAGGCAACTATACAATATTCCAGAGGACTTACAAACACCCTGAAGTTCCACTGACCCTTGCCAATGGACCAAGTTAGGAACCACTTGTAATGATCATACTGTCTTCACAATAATTATCTTTTTTGAGCTTACCAGAACCTGTATCATCTAATTTAATCCTACCAACAACCCAAAGAAAGAGGTAGAACTGTTATCTGCATCTTACAGGTATAGATATTGAGGCCCAGAGAGGCCCTCCAGCTTGCCCAAAGTCTCATGTCAAGGCCACAGCGGGGATTTGGGACTAAAACCCAAGAGCCTGATGTGAGAACTCAAGCTCTTTCCCCCAAAACCTGGTGATGATAGGGTTTTATGAATTGAGGCCCAAGCTCCCACCTGAGGCCTCGATGGAAATTATTTCTAGTCACCCAAAGAACCTTAAATTATGTGGTATCTATCTTCAAAGTTAAAAGCAAGGGTCCTTCTCTACGCCAAGAAATCCCCAGCACAGCACACTGGTCCACACTGTGGAGGTCATCCTTCACAGGTACCTTCAGGTTCCCATGGTAACCAGGCCACAGGGAGCAAAAACACTCAGAATTGTATAAAACTCACTCTCCTCCTGCATTGTGTATCCCCACTCATTTCTAACCTCTAGAAGTTCCTCTCATTTGCAGACATATTCAGATTTGTTTTCTTAACCTGGAATTCTACTTTCCCCAATTCTTCCTCAAAATAACTCCTTCAAGGCCCAGCCTATATGCCACAAAAACTTCTAAGCTCCAGGACTCTATGGTCCCAGAATATGTTGCTTGCATATCTACGTAACATTCTTCTGTCATGCCTCGTAGGGTGCCTTGAATAGGAGATCCACAGCCTGTTGTCTCTTTCAGTTTCTAACCACACTGAACACGGTGCTTAACACGATCACTCGGTAGACCAGTAGTTCCCACACTTGTTAAAACATGGACTGCCGGGCCCCACCCCCAGAGCTGCTGATTCAGCAGGTCTTCAGTGAGGCCCTGGAATCTGCATTTCTAACAGCCCAATTTATATGGATGTTACTGGTTCAGAGACTGCACTTTGAGAATCCCTGCAAGAGATGTTTGTGGAATGAATACATGATTGAGTGAATGAAAATTTCCCTTAAGCATCCTCTCCCCAAGGGCTCCAAAAATGAGCTTTAGAAAAATCAAGATAAAAAAAATTGTTACCAACATTTACTTCTAGATGAGGAGCAAAAATAGAAGCAACAGGGAGAAAAAATGGCCAAAAACAGCAGGGAAGCAGAAGAAGGAAAAGTTAAGATAGATATCAAAAAACTTTCAGGTTACCATCTGGTTTCCTCTTAGCCATTACTGTGTAAACGTATTATGATCAGACCATAATTAAAAATACTATGATGAGACCAAATTAAAAATAGGTTCAGTTTTCTGACTCAACCATTTATTTAAAAATATTCTGGAGAAACACTCTGACTCAGTTAGTCCAAGCCTAGAAAAATTTTCATAAGACAAAAAAATAATAATTATCAGAAATGAATATAAAAACGATTACAAGGAGGGTCACAAAAGCCCTACTTATAATCACCAGAAATTTGAAACAACTTAAATGTTTAACAAAAGAAATTAGATCCAATAAGTTATGGTACGTCCATAAATGGAATACACTATAAAGCCTTTTAAAATGTCCTTACAGGGAATATCTATTGACACAGGAAAAGGTAGAGGATATAAAACATGAAAAAAAAAATTAAGTCAAAAAACAGTATAAACAGTATGCTCTAACTTTGGATAAAAATCATACACAGATATAGAGAGACAGATAAAAATATAAATATAGCTAGAGTGCTATTTATCAAATGGGGGGTTAGAACAAATTATTTTGAAATTTTAAATTGTGTATTTCAATCATTTCTGCAACAAATACATATTGCTTGAGTAATTTTTTTTACAGATTTAAAAAAAGAGAGAGAGATAGGCTATAGGAAGTTTATACTCGCCATTTCTTCCCAGGAAGGAGTAACAAGTTGAAGCACGAGCATTTTTGTGTGTGTTTTTTTTTTTAGGATAAGTCTTTTTTTTTTTTAAAGATTTTATTTATTTATTCATGAGAGACAGAGAGAGAAAGAGAGAGAGAGAGAGGCAGAGGGAGAAGCAGGCTCCCAAGGAGCAGGGAGCCCGATGCGGGACTCGATCCCAGGACCCCGGGACCACGACCTGAGCTGAAGGCAGACGCTTAACCATCTGAGCCACCCAGGCGCCCAGCACGAGCATTTTTGTAACTTTCTCCTGGCCCCACTCTCCTACAAACATGGACTACAACTTGGATTCCATCAGTGAAGCATCTGCCCCACCAAGAGATCCCTCTTCTTTCTTGGTATTTCCGGGACCTGCTCAAAGATGACTCCCAACTCAGAGAGCCTCCACTTGGAATAACTCATGACTCCACCACCGGGGCAACTGCGTTGGAGAACGACATTGACAATGGATCCACCGTGACCCTGGTCACCCAGCAAACTGCCATTTTTTGGAAACCGTGGCTGTCTCCCCTACCGGCTTTTAATAAGGCGGGTTGCTTAGCAACCGCCAGGAACTGGCAAGAAGGCAGAAGGCGGCACCAGTCAGAACTATTTTATGACCAAAGTGAGCTGTGCTACGTGTGTCTGGTTGCATTCAAGGTAACCAAATAAGAGATAACACCCAGCTATTTTTGCATCATGAGGAAAAATACTTGGCTCCTGACCAGAGGGGCAATTACCTAAAAATCTTGGCAGGCCCCATGGTATGAGAAATGGTAACTGATACGCGGGTGAAAAAAAAAAAAATCACTGACCTTCATAAATACTGATGATATGAGGATGGTTGAGGGATGACATGATCTCAATCTCTCGTCTGATGTGAACCATGTCTTGTTCATCCTTAATTTTGTCCTTACGAATGGATTTTATAGCAACCTATAAAGTCAGGAAATGAAATGTTACCCAGAGAACTAAACAGATGCAAATCAGCCATTGGGGGAGTTTGGAAAATAAATACAGATGTTACTTGTTGGCAGAACCGACAATAACCAAAACAAAGCTTCGAAATACCCCCTGTCACGTCTTTCATTTATAGCAAAAACACCCTTCTCCCAACAACAGAAAACATCAGGTTCCAACAGCCTAGGGTTTGGGATGCTGGGTTGGTTTTTTTTTTTTTGTTTATTGAGGGGTTTTTTGTTTTTGTTTTTGTTTTCCATAAAGCAGAGGCTGCTTCATGTGGCCAGATCCATTTACTCCAGGAATCCTGATCCTTTGAAAAAAGGAAAAAGGAGAGCTCGGTTTACAGGGTCTGGATGATTAAACATGGATGGGTGAAATCAGTATCACTCAGCTCCACCGGGCAGCTGCCGCAGCAAAGACTAGAAAAAGCTTTACTGCATGGGGCTTCTCGAGGCCAGTTCTGCTCAAACGTACGCTTTCAAGACTCCAGCCTATGCTGTGTTTGTGCAATTGCTCAGCGGCCAAATCCTTCCTTCATTCTTCCTCTTGTCCAAGGACCTTTGATACATGTGACAAGACAAAAAGGCTCTGCTATAGAAAAATCAGGACAAAACAAAGGGAGTGACAGCCAGACTCCCTGCCCAGCCCCAGTAGATTCCCGTGCCAATGTCTACAAATGCAAACTGTAGAGAGCTGCCAGGGCCAACGCACAGAGCAGTTCCTCAAAAGAAACACATAAATAAAAAAGCATTAAAAGACAACGGGAATCTAATAAGGAAAAACGTGTTTGCCAATGGACTCATCTTTGCTCATAAACAAGTTGCTTCGTAATTTAATCCACCCTGGCTCTAAGGGAGGCAAAAAGTACTTTCGAGGGGGAAGGTGTCCATGGGTAACAAGGAAGCCCGCCAACCAATGTGCTGCCATCTCCAAAAGCCTGCTTAGTCCCCTCCAAAGTGGTCCTCCTGTGATGTCAGCTCTCACCTGGACCACCCTCTCCTAGATGAAAGGCACTTAGCCCATCCCTCTGGATCACAAAGGCATGAAGGGCTCCTTGTTCCCAGCAGGCCATCCCCACACCTGGATTAAGACAGGGTGAAGCCCTGTCAGCCTCAGCAGGAACGCACTCCCACCTGTGAGCATTAGCATCTTCTGGCTTACACCAGGTCCCCACCAAGCACGATACATGGAAACATTTCTAAAATACAACTGGTCCATCTATAACTCAGTAAGAATTGGGCAGCTATTATTATTATTATTATTATTATCATTATCATTATTATTGTTTTGCTACTTGCTGACCTCCCAGCAAATGGGGGAAATGGACAGGCAGGTCCCCATTTTTCTCCTCTTCAGAACCCTCCCCAGCTGTAATGAAATCAGTATTTGTGTCGTCACTTGGCTCTGTACTAGTAGGGATCTAATTCACTGCTTTATCTCCAGGGCTTAACTCCGTGTTGGCACATGGCAGGCCCGAGCAAAGCCTTAGTGTGGGCAGGTGGGCAGGTGCTAGGTAGACAGAAAGGGAAGGGGCGGGGGGCAGGGGTGATGTCTGCCATTAGGTTATGATTGCCCAGACCAGAGATGTGACAGTGGAACCGGAGCAAAAAAGGAAGAACACCCTAGTCAGACACCACCACTGAGACAGGCACACTGGGAAGCTGCTTAGTTTTTCTTTGGCATCCTACCTGCAAGGGGAACCGAGCAATGGACAAAGCAGACCGGAAACATGGGACGCTGGGCTGTAAACCCAGGGGCCGGCACCATCCTCCCTTAGACTGGAGGCAGACCCCGAGGCTGCATAAAAGGAGGCTGCCCAGAGATGAATGAGCTCCCATCTTCAAGGCCCCTTTTCACCAGGGTGCCAAGCTCAAAGCCACCCCAGGCCCTCCCGACAGCCCCATTCCGTATGCAGCAAGAAAAGTCTCCCTGTGCTTACGTCAAATGTAAAGATATGACTGGAAGGCTTTATTTTGTCTGAGCTGGGACTGTGATCTTGAGAGCTTGTTCTGGGAGGAAGCAGACAGTGAACACACACAGGCCGTGGAGGATGTGGGTGGCTGTTGGACCAACTCCTGCATTCCTCCAGAACTAAAGATGGGCCAGGGGAGAAACCACCCCTTTGATTATGCAGCAGGCTGAACTTGGCCTCAAGGAGGCCCTATTGTCAAATGACAAGAGGCATAAATTCTTTCCCCTTCCAGGGTCAGGGGAGGGTGGTGACATTCTGGGGGGTAAGAAAGTAAGCCCACTTGTCAGTTCCCCCCAACAGTGGAGTACGTTTGCCAGGGGGATGCTTCCAGCCCAGTATGAAAAGGAAAGTGCTCACATTCTAATAAAACCCCACTCGGCACTGAGGAAACTGAAGGGGCTCCATAAATGTTAATAACCATGGTGGTTGCCCCTCCACAAAAGCTTCCCTCTTCCTGCAATGAATTTTCTATTGAAAATGTAAAAGAGGGCTCATTCTGCCCCCTCTTTCAAAGGGTTGGAGGGAAGTCAGTCGGAGACAAATGCTAGAAATCACTTAGAACCATGCAACTGTCAGGGCCAGGGGGAGACTCTCAGTTCAACTCCCAAGAGCAGGGAGCTGCCTCACCCAAGGTTGCAGAGCCCGTTAGTGGCAAACCACGGACACAGTAACCCCACAGTAATAACAGCAGCTGGGTGTGGAGCACTTCACATTCGGTGCAGACCTGGTGTGAATTGCTCTTCACACCGCCCATCTTTACCTCCTCATTCAGGCTTCAGCTCCAGGATACCCTAGGGCAGCCCTCCCTGACCCCTCTCGCCACACCTGCCCTCACTTTATCTTCTTTGGGACCTATCGCACCATCTGAAATTCTCTTGCTTGTTTGCTGTATATTCAGCCTGTGACCAAATCCAGCTTGTGGCCTGTTTCTGTAGGACCCAGAAAGCTAAGAATGGTTTTCATGTTTTTAAAGAGTCGTTTATAGAAGTCCAATGCTCTATCCATTGCGCTATGGAGCCACCATAGGGGAAGGGAGGGAAAAATGAAACAAGATGAAACCAGAGAGGGAGACAAACCATAAGAGACTCTTAATCTCAGGAAACAAACTGAGGGTTGCTGGAGTGGAGGGGGTGGGAGGGATGGGGTGGCTGGGTGATGGACATTGGGGAGGGTATGTGCTATGGTGAGCGCTGTGAATTGTGTAAAACTGATGAATCACAGACCTGTACCCCTGAAAAAAATAATACATTATATGTTAATAAAAAAATTTTTTTTAAAAGAGTCGTTTATAAAAGGAGACAGAGATCTATAAATGTAGCTCCTGTAACGTAAGGCAGTGCCTGCTTCCTGAAGTCCAGGGAATGAACTGGGCCAGCACGCAGGGAAGCAGGGTTGCCTAATGGTCAGGGGCATGGCTAAGTCCTGGCTGAAACCACTCACTAGCTGCTGTGTGACCTTGGGCAGGTTGCATAACCTTTCTGTGCTCCAGTTTCCTCATCCCTCAAGGAGGTACCCTGTGAGGATTTAGGTGAACAGGGGAATAAGATATTCCCACTCGAATCAAAAGTCTGTCTCAAGATACCCACTTCAGCCTCTGGATTTGGACTGTTCATTCACTTCTTTCTTTGGAGCACCTTCCAGGTACCAAGCACAGCGCTGGCACAACCCAAAAGGGAACCAACAAGATTCTGTCCCAGCCCTCGAGGCTGGGGGGAGGGCGGGGAGTGGCAAAAATTGCACAAATAATTACGTAATTTTCCTCACGGCCAAAGGCTACCGAAGAGACACACAGAGGTGTGGGCATTCTGGGGAAAACCTCCTCTCCAGTTTTCCTCAGTCCTCACCCACATCGACAAAGAAAGACAGAGCTAAGGAAAGAAGGGCCCAGCAGGCGGAGATTACCAAATGTCTGAAATCATACACCCTCCAAAAAAAAAAAAAAAAAAAAAAGTCCAATTTGTTGCTACAGGAGCCAAAGAGATGTCACTCCGCCTGCAAAGTGACGGGAACTCACACGCAGTACAGCCCCTTTCATAAATGTTCCCAAGTCTAGACAGCACCGTGTGCCTTATAAAACGGTCTGCCTTTGTATAAGGCCACCCTATGGTTTAATGTCTGAACCGTCTGCAGCAGCAGGTCTGGCCAGGGACCTGTGAATTCTGCCCTGCGGTGCCTGCCTCTTTAAGAGGCACGCTCAGCCCAGCCAGCCCCCAGCCCTGGGGAACCTGAGCAGGCCCCACCCCCTCTTCCTTCCACAGGCTTTTTCCTTTTTGGAATAATCACCACAAACCACCTGTTCTGCAGCCTGCTGGGCGTCCTTGGCCACAGCGGCTGCCGCCAATGTTAAGAGCTGGGTGGCCGGGCAGGTTCTGGGAGGCAGCAGGGTCCTGCGAAAGCTCAGGCTTTTGCTGGCTAGCTGACCTCAGGTGAGGTCATCAGAGCATCGCAGATCTGTTTCCTCATCTGTAAAGGGGGGCTAGGAAGCCCCCCTTCCTTGGGGCTGTTGTAAGGAGTGGGAATAATGCGAGGAAAGTACCTGGCACACAGTAGGTGTTTACTGAATGGTGGTAACAATAGATGAGGCCTGGCAATAACAGGGTCCTGGACCATGTTTTAGGGGTGATGAGCCCCAGCAAATCATCTTATAGGCCTCTCCCCTCCCCATTCCCCACACCCATCCTCCCCCTCCCCACATTTGTACTGAGGCAAGAGCAGGTTGAAATTTGTACCTAGCCTGCCTGCCCGCAGAGAGTAGGGCAGCCAGCCGTCCTCCTGGCCTGCTCTGGGGAGTGGGGGAAGTTCTGGACAGGTGGTATGTTTGCCAGCCTCTAACCAAGAGCATCACAGCCCCCTTCCCTCCGGAGCCACCTCCCATGGATGCTCACTCACTGCCATCTGTCAGCCTGCAGGGAGTGTCCTAGAACAGTGTCTCTCAAACAGGGGTCATGGACACCTTGTTAAAATGCAGATTCTGAGTCCAAAGGTCTAACAGGGGGCCTGG